CATCAGAGCCAGCGGCAAATTCCAGAAGATCTGGCCGAGGTGAGGCTGCTCTCGGTGGGTTCATGAGCGCTGAACGCCGCTGACACGGAGCTCACATCTTCCAAAACATCAAAGCAAATGTTCAAATAGACGTTATCTTTATTAGCAAACTGCATATTTGAAGAATGCAGTTATGAAGTATGAAGTATTCACCTTAAATACCTTAAAACTATGAGAAAGAACTGTTGAGAAGGGAAGAACTGTTGTGTGTATATATATATATATATATAGTAGGGCTGTCAATCGATTAAAAATTTTTATCTAATTCATCACATCCTTTTTCTGTGATTAATCGCGATTAATCGCACACTTCATGAAATTAAGCATAGACCATTTATCTTGTTTCAAATGTTTATTTTGTCATCATTTGCTATATCCAGCAAAGTAAACCAAACGACTGAAGGGTGATTCTCAAAAATCTATATTTTCTGCAAGATGTTTTTCAAGATAAATTTAGATGTCTTTCCAAAAAAGGACATATAGAAACATATAGAAACTCCAAAAGGAAACAAAGGCAGCACTCTGATTTAAAGCATTAAATTTCTATAAAATATAACGTTATGAGACTTTGCCCTCAGCCAAAACTATTTGCTCTGGAACAAATAATAGATTAATGAGACAAAGACAGCCCGTTAGAATTACCCAAAATGCATTATATCTCCTGTTTAACCACTATAGAGACATCAAAGAACCAAATGATATAAGGAGCCCATATAAGCACATATGAAAGAAAAGAAAATCTGAATTTTATAGTATGTGTACAGTGCAACAGCAAAGATCTTTTTTTTATATATTTTAGAGAAGCCAAGTTGCGATACCGAACAGGACCACATGGAGATGCCAAAAAAACCCTAAACCAATCGCCCGCTGACTGCATATATCTACTACAGTACACACGGATCCATTCAGAATAACTAAACACAGCAACATAAACATAAACATGACAAATCAAAACATTATCGTGAATGTGTGTGGAAACAACATGAATGTACGGAAATTTCTGTGCCTGTGCATAAATACAATGTGTGATCAGTTGCATCAAGAGCACTCATACACGCATTAATATAACAGACTCACGCATGCTTACTGTACGTACTCTTACTGTACGTGCTTACTGTGCTTACTGTACGCCACCGCAATCGTCTTTACCTTGAGACAGATTGTTTGAATGCATTCGCTTACTGGATCATTGGACTGAAAACTTTCCCGGAGTTTAGCGGCTTAAAATGATCTAATCGCAAACAGAGAAGCAAAATTGGGTTAAAGGGTTAAAATATAAATTGTGCTTCAGTAATTTTGCGTTAATTGTGTTAAATTATTTTAACGCGTTAAGGATTGTAAAATTAATCACGTGCGTTAACGCGGTAACGATGACAGCCCTAATATATAGCATTGAGTTCGGCACCTTTGGTCTTCGATGAGCTCAAATGAGTGCATGTTACACCTCTCTAACTTCACTGCTTACTGGTTTCCACCTGCGTCAAGTTGCATATGCTTGCATATACAGAACACAGACTGCTTCTACACCATCCTATCACTGTTTCAAATCTCTGTTTCCTCCAGATGTCATGAAACAGAAATTACAAAAAAACAACTTTGACATTAGTCATAAGTAGAGACGGTTGTGAAGGTGTACAGGGAAGTGTGTAAGTGAACAAACACATCAGTGTGAATGGAGTTACTGGAGACTGAAGCTCAGATTAAGGCAGCGGCTCCCAAGGGTCTAAAGTGTTTAAGATAACGGCCCCTGTGTTTGCTCATTTGTGTTTGTCCCTCCATTATGTTAATGTCATCCCAGCCACATCCCCTAATTACACCCACAATTACATCTATTGACTCCCTCTGGACACATAAGCTGCAGAGAAACTAAATACACAACACAGAGAAAGAACAGCAGCCCAGTGTCTGGGGATCCAACTGTGTATTTACTGTTTACACTCATTCATCTCTAGCTCTTTGTTAGATTTAGAAACACTTTTACATAATTCAATTAAAATGAAACATCCAGTAGTTTCGCCAGATCACCTGAGCAATCGAGCAGCAAGCAGCTCTGCAACTTACAGTCAGTCATACAGGTTTGGATATCGTGAGAGTGAGTAAATGATGACAGGACTTTCACTAGTGGGAAAGCTGTCCCCAGTTCCCAAATATTTTCCAAAGAGGTAGTGTGCTGAGAAGAGCACTCGTTTTCTCTGAAGCCGGCTTTATTGTTAACAGACAGGGCAGTTCCCACTGAACTCGCTTTTCCATTCCAATGCACTAATTTTCCATTGTTTTTCTATGCAAAGATGTACTAGACGGATGTGTATGATCGTTGTGCTCGTGTCTCATATCTTTTGTACGAGTGTATATATACATGCTTTATAGCCTTTTTTTTTTTTTGCACACATTGTTAAATGTTTTCAAAGGAAACACACACACACACACACACACACACACACACACACACACACACACACACACACACACACACAAGATGTAATGTATAAGCTTGTTCAGAAATGGTGACAAACATGTTTGATTTAAAAAATAACGTCTTTTTCATTAAACTATTTAAATAAATTAATATTCAAATATTTGTTTTTTATGAACGAATTTCGAATGCAGTATTTTTGAAAAATGCCCATCCCTCGTATATGTATTGATGAAATAAGATATGCAAACACATATGCAAACTTGTATAAAAGTACAAAAATGTATAAAAATGTACAAAATATATATAGTTTGCAATTGTGTTTTTGTTTAGTATTGTATTTCACACATCATATTTGTATGGCTCATATATGCAAGTCATTGCAATTCAGTATTGAGAGAGAGACAAATAAACCTTCATAAAAGCCTGTTGTGTCATATTTGACATTTACTTTTTAACATGAAAAAAAATAAAAATTAAAAATTTTTTAACATTAAAAAAATTATAAATGCATATTCAGCTGCCTCAGCCCAGTACATGTTCATCTTGAATTATTACTAACAATATAAAAGTTATTCTTACTCTCACATTATAAAAATCATGCAAGATTTCACAGCAAAAATACTTTACTTGATAAAGTATGAACGATCAATCACAGGGCAGAAGGTATGAAGCAGATTGTGTATAACAGGTTTATCAGCAAAGTGCTGCTTATGTTGATCATTTAAAGGCCCTAGAAATGTGTGTATCAAATATATTATTGTAGGCTAATATATTCATAAATAGACATTATAATTATGGTTTAACACAATATTACAACAAATGTTTACTGTAAGTTATGAGAGAATATAATGTTTAGTAATATAATATAAAGTTGTTGTTTTTTTAAATCAAGAATTTGTATTATTTGTGTCCTAATAAGATGGAAAACAGCAATACATTTATTTTCGTATGTCTTTTTATGGTTATGCCCTTTTTAGGCTTAAGGACCAATTCTCACTATTAACTACATCAAAAACTCCTAATGTGCTGCTCATTCATAGCTAGTAAGGTAGTTGGTAAGTTTAGGTATGGGGTGGATTAAATGACCAAAATACGGTCATGCAGAACAAGACATTAATATGTGCTTTATAAGTGCTAATAAACAGCCAATATGCTAGTAATATGCATGCTAATAAGCAACTAGTTAATATTGGTCCTTAAAAGAAAGGCTTACCATATTACTATCTATTTATTTTCATTTTATTTCGTTTTGCAATAAGCAGCAAATTAGGAGTTTAGTGAGACAAAAGTCATAGTTAATAGTTAACAGTGAGTATTGGTCCTCAAACTAAAGTGTGACCTTAATTATTATTCAGAACGCACATTTGTAAAATAAAATATATTTATAGGAATATTTCAGCAGGTTGACACTGACAGCCCTAAAATGCAGTAATAATAACAATGTGCTCTCATGATGTGCAACTGTCTGTATGTAGATTAAATTAACGCTGTAATTAAGTAGAATGTGGAAATAGTTGTGCAAGCAGTCCATTTCTCTCCAGAAATCGTTTATGGACATGTGACCATGTTCTCATTAGTGGGTTACTTCACAGCCAATAAACGCTCACGACCAGCAGCTTCACAGGCAACATGAGGGAAGCGGCCCCACAAATTATTACACCTAATTATGAATGTAATGTGTAATAATTACTGCCGTCACTTAGTCAGATGTATACCTTCATTTGGAAACATTTCTAGACCTGTCCAAACACCAGAATGTCAGAGTTCTGTAAAGATCAACAACATCTTGAACAGATTCTGCATGATTATTGGTGTTTCCGTGTTGTAAACTAGTTTACCCAGTGAGCTCAGTCTTGCTGACTGTTGTCATTGGAGCATGCTTTGTCTCTCTAGAGTCGAGGCGGGGTTTGAGAGGAGAAAATAGAGGAGCGGGAATGGAAATGCAGTTAGCTCTTGCTCACGCATATTACACTGGGGCATAAATCAAGACGGGGAGAGAGAAGCAAACGCATTAGACGCCCAGCGGGACGGTGTATACACTGAGTTTGAAGGGCAGATATCAGGCTGGATGGATGAGGCCTACCACACGATTGAGCTAAACTCTCCAAACTATAAGATTTCCTACACAGACATGAGACAGGTATATTGATGGGTCGGTACGGTTTGGGAGCGTGTTTCTGTGTGTGCGTGTGCTAGAGAAAAGAAAACTAGAAATTCAGGTGGCACAAAAGAAAGTACTACCTTTGTTTTTCCTTATCTTTGGCTTTGTCCGTCTCTTTGTCTTTGGTTCTGTCCCGTGTCCGGTCTCTGTCTCGGGTTCGGCGCTGAGCACGATCTCGATCTCTGCTGCCACCTTTGGAGACGGGAGCGAGACCTTCAAGAAACAAACAATACCCAAAATACATATAAACTGGAAAAGCAAAATTAGCCTTAAGTAGTGGTTAGCTCAGCAGTTAAACATCCGGGTTGGGCTGACCAGCCAAAAGAAAGATTATTATTCAAACTCCAAAATTAGTGCAATTAATGAAACGGTACGATTTAATAAAGATCAGGGTGACTGAACCTGTTCAAAACTGTCATCTTTCCCTCCTTTGATTCACTATTAAGTCGATATTAAGTCAATGATTTTGAGTGGAGATTTTATGTCATTTGTCCTTGTGTGTCTAGGTCATGTCTGTAAGTAAAGAAGGTCTGGCTATGTTTTGAAGAACATTGGTAACCACTGACTTCCACTGTATGAACATAAAACACTGAGACATTTCTATCTGCTTTTGTGTTTCACAGAATAAAGTAAGTCATACAGGTGTTCTTTTTCACACTCTCACTAGTTTTTCTTTTCATTTGTCCATTAAAAACCAAACAGGACTTTAGGTTTTACACAATCCAAGTCATATGACCACAAAAAAACACGATCATGTGACCCTAAAATCATGTCAACATGGCACATAATCTGCAACAATATAAGCCTACACTAATGCACCTTTAACACTCTATAGCATAAAAACTATGATATCCAACATTAATGATGACAAATATGTCAACAACTGAAATATATGTAAACAAAAATGTATTTGGATTTTTTTATGATTAAAACACATGAAATAATAAAAAAAAACACTTTCCCAGCTAGCATTTAATGTATCCTAATAAATACACAAAATGCAATGTTTTTGCATAATTTGACAAAACTGCAGCTTGATTTGAAACAGTGTTAATTTTGACAGCAAATTTTGATTTAGCTTTAGTCATAGTCTTTTGATGAAAATGCCATTTAGTTTTAGTCATATTGTAGTCATCTGAATCGTTTTAGTTTTAGTCTAGTTTTAGTTGAATATCATAAGATTTTAGTCGACTAAATCGACAGTAGATTCAGTGGGCTAAAATCGAATGGGTTTAGTTACGGTGTAATGCATTTATTAATCATTTCTCTAATATTTCCAAACTCATTATATATTCCTGAATAAAACATCTATTGACCTGTTAATATGAATGATATAAAGGTTTTACCATGCAATACAGATTGAACTGCTGTGACACATAACATGTCTTATATCTTAAAATGAAATAAAACCACTTCTGGTGTAATGCATTTATTAATCATTTCTCTAATATTTCCAAACTCATTATATATTCCTGAATAAAACATCTATTGACCTGTTAATATGAATGATATAAAGGTTTTATCATGCAATACACATAACATGTCTTATATCTTAAAATGAAATAAAACCACTTCTCATAAAGAAACAAGAACATGGTCTTCTTTTCAATGAAATACCAATGGCTATATATAATATGCAGTCTTTATAACAACTTGCTTACAACATGCTTCATTGTTTCAAGCAGACATATTTATTATAAATTAAATGTGGATTCATCCTAATTAAGGCTACTAAAGTGATTCAGTCAAGAGCAGTGAGTGATTTTCTCTCTTTCTTTTGTTGCTTGATTAACATTAATGACACATTCAGGCCGAATGAACGGGTGCATTATACTGATACACATCTGATATTCTCCAAACTGTTTACGTTCACTTAAGACGTAACCGAGTGTGTTTACGTGAATACTCGTCAAAACGGACAATTCAACATCATTCGTTGACGAAAATGTCAATAGATTTTTGTCATAGTTTTTGTCCTTCACAACGAGTTATTTCGTCTCGCTTTCATCTGTGAAAAAATGTTGTTGATGAAAATGATTCGTCAACGAAATCTGCACTGATTTAAAATAACAGTTTTGTACTCACAGGTGATTTTTATTTATTTTTTATTTTATTTTGTGTGTGTCATGTTGTCTCATTTTCGTCTCAAGCATGCTCTTCACTGACTCTGTTGCCTCCGTGATAAACAAGTACACTAGCTTTTGATAAAACATCATTAAGGGCAAAACCATTGTTTAGTGTGGTGAAAATGATGGCACAACTGTGGGACAGTTGTAACTAGTGTTGCAAAGGGGTGGAAAATTTCCGGTAAATTTCCGGAAACTTTCCAAAAATCCCTGGAATATTCCAAAAAAATCCTGGAAAGTTTCCAAAATTTCTGGAATATTTCTGGAATTTACTGGAAGTTTGCCCCCTTTTTGCAACCCTAGTTGTAACTTTTAATTGTTTACACAAATTTCAAAATAGTTTGTTAATTTAACTCTTTGTTTAGAATAAAATAGTTTTAAACACGTAATAATTCATATTTTTAAAGTATGGAATTCTACAAGATGAATCTTCATAGTTTCGCTGCACAGACTGAAAGTCTGAGTCCGTAATTTGTTTATTCCAGTAGAATATCTTGGCCCATGCATTGTAAAGTCAATTCAGGGAAGATTCGTAACTGTTGTGCTAAAATGTCGTCATAATCCAGCACTAATGTGTACTGCTTAGGGATATTGAAAGTGAAACCGACATCATTTCCTCACCCTCATGAAACACAAAAGAAGATATTTTGAAGAATGTGAGTAACCAAAGCATTTTGGTGATCACTGACTTTCACTGTATTGAAAAAGTTTTTTTTTTTAATTATTATTATAATTTATTTATCTTCAGAAGAAAGTAAGCCTTACAGGGATGTGCCAACATGAGGTTGAGTAAATGATTTTTATTTTTGGGCTAACTGTTGCTTTAACAATTCTCAGGCTGTCAAAAATCTCTTTATGAAGGATATAGGTAACCTTGTTTCAGCTTTAACAACATTCCTGAGATTACAGACAGGGTCTAGAAGCAGATCACTATTTGAAAAACCCGAGTCTGGAAAAACCGCTGCACTTCTATTTTTTACGTTGTTTTATCTGATCGTTTAGCAGGCAGAGCAAACGCAGTTATAGTTACACGAGAGAACACAAGAGTGGTCTTATTTTAGCAAATGTACTTGTGGCCAGGCGCATGTAATAAACACCAGCACTGTCGGTACGCCGCTTTTTCATCTCTTTCTCTCTTTCCGCAGCCCAGCTCACTTCTGGGCCTGTTGCAAATTCAATTTATTGTAGTTAATAGACTGTGGTGCGGCTGCTAAATGTCAATTTCATTACCAAGGCCTTACCCTTAGAGAATTATGACCTCATTTAAGGCGAGGGGGTAAATGTGTTAATGCGGGATGGCCAGATAAACACACGCGTCCAGCAGCATCATGCCAAGAGTGGGCTATTTTACATGACTTTCAGCTATTATCGCCAGAGGAAAAGCCTTCCCCTACGGCCTAAAAATATTTCAAATCCTTTTGAAAGGTGCTTTTTTTAAAACTTTTTTTTCTCCAATCCATTCAATCTAGCAGCAACGATCGGCTCGGGCAATTTTCCCTGCAAATTATCAATAAAGTAATTACCAGTGTGTGGGAGTGCGCCGGGCGCTTATCGCCGATGCCCCCTGCCCAGCCGCTGATCTGATCCCTCCCCGCGCCGCGTTTGGGTAATTATGTGAGCAGGATGGTGTCCTGCTGTTATCTGACCATATTTTATTCCTGCTAAACAAGGTTTCTTGCTTCATATGAAATTGGATATTAATGGCGGCGAATGATAGCACTAGTGCAACTAACAGACGTAAGACACACCGCTGGAATCTTAACCTGGACAAATGATTATTTATTCCTGCTGTGGCGCTTTCTCTCCTCGTTTCATTTCCAAACACACACACACACACATGTTGTGTTTCCATGTTTTATGGGGACATTCCATAGGCGTAATGGTTTTTATACTGTACAAACTGTATGTGCTATTGCCCTACACCAACCCTACCCCTAAACCTACCC